CAGAATCTTGCTTCCCAACTCTTTTCAGCTCCCTTTACAGTTCCAACAAACTGGTAGGAGACTGAGAATGACTCTGGAGCAATGCTGTCATAATATTCAGGGGCTACTCTTGGGTTCTATAGTTTTGTCCCAACTCCCTGGAACCATACTAAAGAAATAACCCACTGCTTAGTGGAATGGTTGCTTTGGTTTCTCAACTCCCTCCCCACCACCCACCATTCCTTCATCTCTACTGCCAAGGCAGGAAAACACCCCTCTGGTCATGGATGGATGGGTCACTTACAATAGTGAGGTCAGTGCCCCTTGGTGGCTGCTGGATATATGCCTCTCAGAATCCCAGACTATTGTCCTGTAGACAACTGAGCCTAGAAAGGAAGAGCCAGGAGCAAGCCAACATCTCCTTTTTCAATAACCCTCCAAACCCACAGTGTCACAGAATTAGTGGAGAGCTGGCATTGACACCAAAACTAGGGTGTGATGAGTGCTGGGCTGGTGAGAACTGGAAGAGCTAACCGTACAAGCTTTCCCAGCAGTGATAACCAGAAGCTGATAGAGCTGAGGTGGAGGACTCGGCATAACCCAAGGGAAAAGGGAAATGTGAGTTTTCAGGATTTACTCTGGTTTGCCTGAGACAGCACAAGCCCTCCCAGCCAAGAGCTGGGATGCGCTTTTCCTAGCAGCAGCCTCACCCTGCACATGCCACAGGGCCCTCTCCAGATCAGATTGGTTTGGAGCCAATTGTGGTGAGAGGACAAGAGACGTGTGACCTGATTCCCACCCTGGCCATCTCCTTTGATCAGGCAGGTGAGTGGCACAGCTCTGAAGCTGACATAGCTCCCATTCCTGCCTAAAAACTTTTTTAAAAAGGGAAGGCAACCCCTCACTCCTGTAGAAAGCAGTGTCCTTCAAACAGCCCCTGCACTGTACTCCATGGAGCTCCAAGAAATTCATGCAGAAAATTTAGGGCACCATTTCCAAAAAAGAAATCATTTTGGGGCTGAGGTTAGGGAGAGAGACACTCTTAACAAAATAAACCTATATTGGTGAGGAGGTGGAGGAAATAAAAACACATTATGGGAAATGTTAACATACAAAAGAACACAGAAAGGCAGGTCCATTCAGTGAGGGAGATCTCTACCTCCCATTTGGGGTCCTGCAGCCTCACTGTGAATTCACTGATCACAAACTTTGCTTTAGGAAACAGAGACACCCTCCTCTGCCCCTGTTTCTGGCTGCCTCACTTCCCCTCTCATGTTTGATTTTGAATTCTGTGGGCTGTGTGATCACAGAAACCTCGGAGGATTTGAAGAACACCTTCAGGATGATGTCAGGGTCCACTCTGGCAGGAGGGTTGGATGAGGCGGAAGAGTTTACCCTGTGAAGAAACTCATTGTCCTTTTTCACTGAAGGGTTGTCACTTGGCCTTAACAGAATGGGCTGGTTTGAGGTGATAATGTTCCCATTCATGTGAAGATTGCACTTCATTGGTTTCCCGTCCAGACACAGGTTGTTGTATTTCTTATATGCAGTGATGGCATCATCCTTCTTAACAAAGACCACTTCTGTTATCCCCGAATGGACCAGATGAGCCATTTCAGGGCTCCACATACACAGAAAAGTTCAACAATATCTTCCTCCATGACTCTAAAGTTCTGATTAATCAGTCATCTTGGTGCTTTCCAAAGTGCTGACAACAGACTCAGCAGGCGGCAGCTCTTTGGGGGAATCCTCCTTGTTCACTAGTTCCCAGGGCATGTTGTTCAAGGCTTTTGTTCCAGCCAAAGAGGGGAGAACAGGAGCTGTGTACACATCGTTCTGAACCACTTTGGTGAGAGGGAGGGTGTTGGACATGGAAAGCTTGGAACGGCTCAGCCCTGTCAAGTGATGTAGAAAACTGCCTGAGGCTGTGAATTTCATCTGTTTACTAAGAATGGGAGTTGCAACATCATTGTCTTCATCTAGATCATAAAAATTCTGTTTGACCTGGTGATTATTGACTATGTTAGTCCTCATTCCAACAAGATGGGCACAAGGTGGTTTTGAAATGTAACTAGTTCGCAGAATTTCTGGAAGGATAATTTCTTTTCTGCAGCTACCAGATTCAGTTTCTGATGCCTCTAACAACAACAGACTTGATAGAAAGTCATTTATGATATTTACTGTAGTTTGAGCAATTATTTATAAACACATACCACACTAATGATTCTCAAATGAAAACAAATATGCAATTATTTGCCTACCCAGTTAGACATCCCCTTATTTAGCCTGTGAAACATCCTATGTTCCAACTTCTTAATGTACTTACTTGTACCTATCTGAGAGATTATTATAGTTTATTCCCTCTCTTTCTCCCATTACTTTATTGCTAGGTGATAGGAGAGTAATCTGATTGAGCTACTATAATTATAATTTGAAGGACAAATGATACAATGTTTTGGAATTAATTTGAACCCAAGAGAACAGTATATTGATGATAAAAATGAGCAGACCAGTAGTCCTGATTCTAAGTGGTGTTACACATCTTCTCTAAAACAGTTTAAGTACATTTCTAGGAGGCTGAGTACAAGGCATGAAGCAACTGGGCACTGTTGCATATATCCCTATCCTTGTGGCCTAACTATGGTATACGTACAACATAGGACAAAAGATCCTCTCTGCTGCACAGTAAAGCCATTTAATCCTGGAGTCTACCAGAAATATGTCAGAGGAGATAGAATTACTGAATGTATTTAAGTAAAACTGGAAGTAAATTTATTAGCTCACTTTTTAAAATAATTATATTAAGAGAGCACAAGGGATATGGGAATAGTAAAATCCATGAGAATGGTACACAACTGACTGAGTTTGGGAAACACCTCTCTACAGCATCTAAAACGTTGCCCCTCACTCTGGCCGGTTTGGCTCAGTGGTTAGAGCATCAGCCTGTGGATCAGAGAGTCCCAGGTTCGGTTCCTGTTAGGGGCATGTACTAAAAATAAATAAATAAAATGTTGCCCCTCTGCAGCAGTAACTTATCAGAAGGGTATTGCCAAATCTAGATTGGAAGACCATGCAAGATGACCCCTGACTGCATTCTAGAATCATCACTTCCATTAATAGTCAATCTGGACCCTGAGACCTTTGGAGATACTGATCAAAGAGTCTTTTACATGTCATACACTTATTGTTTATTATGTGTTAGGCACAGGTAGTAATTCATCTAGCAATGTTGATAACAGCCTCTGGTGGAGTTTTGGTTGCCGACACCCACAGTGCCTTCTGCCCAGACTCTCTCTCTTAAGCCACAGCTAATTGGGTTTTGGTTCTTTTTATTTTTTAAATTAGGGTATCACTGAAGAAGTTAACTGTGGGGAGAATGGCTGAAAACTCAAGCTCATGGAGGGGCTGACATGCCTGCTTTATGGCGGGTACAAACAGAGAAAAAGAAGGTGATCCTGAGATGTAGAGAGAAAAATATACAACTGACAGACTCAGATGATCAAAGGATAAGCCATATGGCCTCTGACAGACAAGAGAGAACATCAGTTCCTGACATCTCTTCAGATCATTTGAAATTTGATTGGACTTCATTTTTTTGTCCTTGGACTCAACAGGACAGGTACATTTATAAAATGTCCAACATGTACTTTTTATTTTTCTCAAAACACATTGAATGAGTTTTAGTTCCTTGCAATCCAGAGTCCTGATGAGAAAATAAATCAGGAGATAAGTACACAGAGACATGGGTAAATATAAGGCATCAAGGAAGAAATAAAGGAACAAAGAAGGGCATTTGATCATTGTGTTATTTTAAAGCTATTCAGAGGAGATAAAGGTTTTTAAAACCGAGCCTTCAAAGTTTCTTTTTCTTGACTTGTCTCATATTTTCCAGCAATCCAATCATGTGTATCAAACTGGTGTTTTCACATACGGGTTTTTCTTTCAACCAGTGTAATAAAAGTAATTAATAGGGATTCCAGAAGATACATTTTTATTTCCTTTTTTAAAAGTTACCTTTTGTTCATCTTCCTCCTCTTCTTTCTCCCACTCCCACCCCAGACACACACACACACACACACGTACGTCCAACAAAAGTTAACAGTTAACATACATCCAATATTTGATTTAGTGAAAACCAAACTAATATATACATATATATAATATATATATTATACACATATATGTTTATATAAGTTCTTTGCTTAACCTTTTCTTAGCTACATGCTCTTGTGTTTCAGTTCTGATAAATACAAAAGATATTTTGATGAAGTTTTTAAAAGTGGCATGCTTGCCTATTCCTGTGTAATAGTCATGATGCTTACTCTGACTCTCCTTATCAAGTAAAGGCAATCCAAATGCTAAGCCTCTTATTCTTGGCAGTAATTACTTATGTTGGCTGCTTTCTTTATATCCATCTTCTAATAAGCATAATTAATAATTATAGTGACCTTTCTATGAACCTCCTGGAGGATGCTTGCCAGTTTCTTCCATTCCATCTGGATAAAAATAATAGCAATAACAGTTTACAAAGCATATTCACATTTACTGTAGAAGTCTCTAGTTCAGAATAAGTATACATTGAGCTTTCCTGAAGAGAGTACAAACAGTAAGGTATATAAGCAATTCCAAGATGTGGTGCTGAGAACTAGCTTGGAAACTATGGTTTAGCATTTCTCAGCTAATTAAATCTTGTGGGTTTATCTAATTGTATTCACTCAACAAGTACATCTTTACTATTTGTATTGATGTGCATGCACATATGCCTATACATTGAACACTTCATGAAATGACATCCAACTCCACAATCAAAGGCAGGTTGGAAGCCAGATAGAATGGAATGTTTAAGAAGAAAGTTACTGCAAAAGGTTCAGCTGGTTATGGTGAAGAGATTGGCATTATCCAAAATTTGTAGATCCAAAATTAATGTGTTTATTTCTAAAAGGGTTAGTTAGCACCAGAACAGAGAAGGGAGAGAGAGTTGGTTATTTGGTTTGTATTTTCTGGGTGATTTTTTAAAAATATCACTCCCTGAAAAAAACATATTCAGTGTAAGAGGTCCAGATCTTGTCATCTGTCTGGTCATGGGTGATAGTGCAGGTGCCAGTGGAATTGCATGCTATCATGTGAAAGCCAGCATCAGCTAGTTTGTCAAAGGCTTGTTCCAGAAAGGTAAATTTGAGGTAATATCGAGAAGTGTACCGCTCAGGAGGACGGTCGGGGTCTCTGCTTTCATTTAGAGTATCTCCAAATACTTCTTTGGCTAATGAGATCTTACCACACACCATGATTCGTGCCACACGGCGAAATTTGGCATCTGTTTGGCTATCCCGACCCAGAGTATAGGAGCCTCGATAGCCAATAGTGATGAAACCTGCCTTCCTGAGGTCAGAAGCAGTGTTTGCTGTCAGAGCTGGGAGGTAATTAGGGCCACTAACTTGGATGTTATTACTTGAAGAGAGATTACATGTGATATCAATGTTGGTAGAAAGCTCTTCTAGGTCATTTTCACATAAATCATTGCCAACTGAGTTGATCTTGTTGATTTTAGGAGCCAACATCTTCACTAACTCTGGTAGCTTGAAGTATTCTGCTTCTCTCTGGAGCCGACCACACTCTGGAAAGTGATCAGGAAGCACTAGTTTCCGGTCTCTCATGTAGTCTAGCACATAGCGAAAGAGGAAACCATCTCGGTCTACAAAAAACCTCCCTTTGTTGTCCTGTATTAGGGAGCAAGGTTTCTTTTCACTGAACATTTCCCAGAGCAGGGAGCCGGGAACACTGATCAAAGTAGGATAGCGAGTGATGTACACTTGACCACCCACGTTGAGTTCAATAATCTCAGGAAAATGACTGAAATCCTCACTTGATTTCTCTGTCATGGCCATATTGATCTGTAGAAGCAAAAGACATTGTTTCTAAGTAAACATTTACAGTAGGGGGATTCTGTTTATAAACATTAATTTTCTGCACTCATACACATGATATACTTAGAAAATGAAGCAAACCATACTCTTTTGCAAATTAACTATTTTCTGTAATCCTCATCTGAGAACATGCTTAGAGAGAGGAAGAGAAAGAGAGAGAAACATTAGTGTGAGAGAGCAGCATTGGTTGGTTGCCTTCCGTATGTGTCCCAACCAGGGATTAAACGAGCAACCCAGGCATGTGTCCTAACTGGGAATTAAACCAGCAACCTTTCGGTGCACAGGTGATTCTCAACCAACTGAGCCACTCAGGCTGGGCACAAATTAATTACTTTTAACTTGAGAATGGCAGAATAAAAAAATTGTACTAATTTGGCTTTGCAATGATTATTTTTAGTGTCCTTCTGAATGGTGGGTATATCAGATGATCATAATCCTCAGTTCATGGCATGTTATCACATTTCATGCAGGGCCCCCATTTCTTGTGGTGTTGTTTATTTGTTTTCATTATTCTATTTTACTCTCGCAGTCCATTCTCATTCCTGTCCCTGCTCCCACCATAGGCTGCCATTCTGATAAGTTTAGTGTGTATCTTTGTGTACATATATATTCTTGAAAAATTTATTTTGTTGTTTTAAATAGATGTATATGTTATTGTAATATATATTTCAGTCTTCATTTATACATATTTATACATTTTTCACTCTCAGCACCATATTGTTCAAATTCTTGCATGTTGTTATGTCTATGTCTAATTTCCTGCTTCTAATTGAGACATAATGCTCCATGGTATGCACCCACTATGTTTTACTATTCATTCTCCCAGTGACTGACACCCAGATCGCCACTAACTCCCTTCTCCAATTGACACTCCTGTACATGTTTCCTATGGACCCATGAAAGAACATCTTTAGACTATATATCCAGCAGTGGTATTTCTGAGCCATACTGTATGCATATACCTAGTTTGACTAAGTAGTGACATATTGCACTCTAAAATGTCCCTTGTCTGCATTCCTATTTAATCTTCACATCCCCACCATGACTTGGCATTATCCAGATTTCTAAATTTTTGCCACTCTACTGGGCATAAAGTGATATCTCATTACAGTAGGAGAAACTTAGCTATAAAATAAAGATTACAGGCAACTATCATAAGACCATAAGTTAGTACCTTTTCACTGTCCATTTATTCCTTACCTTTAATATCCCAACTTCTGTCCCTACCACTTTACTAGAACCAGTTTCCAACAAAAAACGTGGTGTGCTCATCACCTTTCTTTGCTCCCCATTCTACTTTATTTCTACATCATTCACCATCATTGTCCATATTAGACTTTGCTGAACCTCTTCCTACCTCACAGTCCAATTGCATCTTTGTCACTGGCTTCTATCTCTTTTCAAACCATCCTAAACTGTGCCTCAGAAGTGTGTTTTCTCTCTCTCTAATCCTTCCATTGCAGAATTCATCCTCTTAACTTTTCAGACTATTAAGTTTACATATATGACTACCAAATCCTAACTTCTCTTCTAAACTTCAGTTCAATACTGGTAAGTACTTGCTGAGTTTGCCACCAGTACCTTGAATTCAGCATTTTCCAAACCACATTCCTGTATGTGAAAGTGTTTTGTAAAATCTAAATTATTATACTTATTTTTTCAGTCTAAACAGGCCACATTTTATGACATTGTTCAGTCAATAATGCCACTTTTGCCAGTCATTCAACCTGGAGATTTAGAAACTTCAGAGTCATCTTACTGGCCTATTAATCTACCTCATGCATATTCCTTAGTAACCTAGAAATTATTCCTTTATGATGTCTCTTGCACACACATATTACTGCTGCTACTTCTGTTCTTTTTTTTAAAATTAATTAATTTATTTTGGTTACAGATGTTTCTCCTTTTCCCCCCACTGATTCCCCCCTCCGGCTCCCTCCCCACCTTGTCCCCAGCTTTGTTGTCCATGTCCATTGTTCATGCATACATGCATATAAGTTCTGTGGTTTATCTCTACCCCACCACTCCCTCTGCTGGGGATTGTCAGTTTGTACCCCACTTCCACATCTCTGGGACTACCCCGTTCCTCAGACTGTTATGTTCATTATATTTCACAAATAAATGAGATCATATGATACTTGTCTTTCTCTGTTTCACTTTTTTTCGCTTAGGTTAATACTTTCCAGGTCCCTCCATGTAGTCTCAAAGGATAAAAGATATTTATTTCTTACAGCTGCATAGTACTCCATTGTGTATATGTACCACAACCTTTTTATCCATTCGTCTACTGATGGACATTTGGGCTGTCACACCTGTCAGAATGGCTGCCATCAACAAATAATCAAACAACAAGTGTTGGCAAGGGTTTGGAGAAAAGGGGACTTTAGTACACTGCTGGTGGGAATGCAGACTGTTTCAGCCACTATGGAAAACAATATAGTGTTACCGCAAACAATTAAAAATTGAACTTCCATTTGACCCAGTGACCCCACTTCTAGGAATATACCCTAAGAAGCCTGAAACACCAATAAGAAAGAATATATGTACCTCCATGTTCATAGCAGCACTATTTACAATAGCTAGGATCTGGAAACTGCCCAAATTTCCATCAGTAGACGAATGGCTACTTCTGTTCTTTACGCTGCACTAATTGATCTGAACATCTGAAATGATCTGTCCATCTCCAGTTGAGATCCATCCACATCTGCCCTATACCCTGCCCTCACCTACAAAAAATACCCTACATGCTATTACCAGGTACATTGTTATCGTATTACCTTCTTGTCTGTTTAAAAAGTTAAGTAACTCCAATTTGTCTAAAGATCAAATTCAAAACCCTTACTCTGGAATTTAAAGCTATCTATTGCTAGTTCTTTCTCTCTTTAATGATGAGAATACCTACCACTACATATAACTTGCCATGCCAGGCATTGTTCTTAACCAATAAAGTGGGTATGAACATTATCCTTATTTTGCCAATGAACAAACTGGTAAATAGCTTCCCCAACATGATACTAAGACGTGTCTGAGGGGGTATTCAAACTCAAGCAGTAGGACTCCAGTGTCCATGTTCTTAATTGATTGTATCTGCCAAGACTTCTTTACATATACAAAAATGGTGTAGACATTATTGCCTGCCCATGATATGTTCATGTTTAGTTGCCTGTGTCTTTGCCTTTCCCTTTCTGGTCCTTGATGTCAAGAGCCAATTCAAGTCCCTCCTCATATTTATATATTAAATTTGAAAATTTTATTTTGTTTTTCACTCTTTGGTTTCCTACTCTTTTATATAATATAATAACAGTGGTAGTGGTAACAAAACAGTAGCTAACATTTTTGAAGCACTTACTATATGCCAGTCTTTTTGGATCTCTCTTTTTTTTAAAATTTATTTTTATTGTTGACAATATTACAGATATCCCCGATTTCTCCCCCCTGCATTGTCCCCCTCAACCCAGTTCCCACTCCACCCCAGCCCTTCACCACACTATTGTCTGTGTCCATGGGCTATGCATATATGCATATAAGTTCCTTGGTTAATCTCTTCCCGCCTGTCAGTATGTTCCATGCTTCCATGTCTCTGGACCAATTTTGTTTGTCAGTTTATTTTGTTCATTAGAGCCCACATATAAGTGAGATTATGTGATATTTGTATTTCTATGACTGGCTTATTCCATATAACATAATAATCTCCAGTTCTATCAACACTGTCTCAAAGAGTAAGAGAACCTTCTTTTTTACAGCTGCATAGTAGTCCATGAATCTCTTTTAATGTGATAACTCAGTTAATATTTCTAAGAATCCAATGAAGTAAATGCTATTGCAATCCTCAGTTCTCAAAGGAATAAGCAGGTGCACAGTTCATTATAATTCCTCATACAGACTAGTGTTTTTAGTCTCCACTTACTAATCTATTCTTCACACAACTAGAATTATCTTTCTCAAATGCAAAACTGATTATGGTCTTCATTGCATAAACATTGTCAAAGATTTCTCAAAGTCTACAGATTGAAGTTCAAACATATTAAGTACAGTGTCTAAAAAATTCCACACTGGTCTTTGCCTTGTTCTTGGGCTTTGATTCCAACTATCTATCTTTTTGATACCCTCAAAATTACTCTAAACTTTAATTATTGAATCTAAAACCAGCCCTCCATACTAATCCACATTGCTTTAATTTATGACTCCTTCTTCCTGAAATGTCCTCTTTTACTCTACCTACCCCCAACCTCCCTGTACCTTCTTGATAAAATATTATAACATATTTGCTTCGGGAAGGTCTAAATCTGAATCCCACTTCTGCATTTACTAACTGGGTAAATTTGGAAAAAATATGTATTCTCTCTGAGCCACTGTTTTCTTATCCAGAAAGTGGATACAACAAAAAATTCATAAGATGAGGAGGAAATTATATATAATGTATACAAAGTACTTAGCACAGTAGTAAGTGCTTAATAGATGGTTGGTTACATTGGCTCTCTTAGGTCATCTTGGAACAAGCAGTGTAAGACTGTAATTCACTAGTTGACTGTGGCACTAGAAGTCTTATAGTGATCCATTAAGATTCTTCTAAAATAAAACGTCCTCTCAAACTGCCCACCTTATCCCTTCATATTCTTTATTATTCCTTCAGATTGGAAATATCTCTTAGAGTACTTATTATACAGCACATCATAATTATTTATATGTTTGTCTGTCCCAAATAACCTCTAACTTACATAGTAATCTTGACTTAAAAATCTCTGGGTCCCCAGCACTGTGAGCCTAAAAAGTAGTAAGCAATTATTGAATGATGAATAAACCACCAACACACAATTTCATTATTTTCATAATCTCACAGTATACTAGTAGAAATACATTTATAGAAATGCATTTTGAGTACATGTGTGAGTATATAAACAAGAAATATACATATACTAGATCTTACAAATTTGTGAATGCAGAAAAGCAGTTATATATTC